ACATCGGAGACCTGGGTGATCTGTCGACTGATCATGTATAATTACATATTTATGATACGCTTATGCTTTTGGAAAAATGGTTTTATATTATATCGGTGATAGATTTTAAGGTTTGTAATAATGAATTCGCTACCACTCGCTATGTATAATTATCTCTGGAATAATGTATCATATATGTATGAATGAATGTTTTCCTTTCGCTAACTCTGAAAAGAAAAGTTTTAAATTTCCGCGTATTTTGAGGTTATGTTTTTATTTTAGTTGTCCATGTGACGCAACTCGTATTTGCGGGATCCGGGTTACGGGTGTCACAATTAGTCTGCCAAAAGGTGTCAAAATATCAAACCAGAAGATTGTTTTTTCCCATCATCTAGGCGAGTGTGCAATATGGAGGTGGCTTTAAGGCATAACTTTAGGAGCTTCTTATATATTTAGGAGCCAAAAACAAGTTCGCCTCATATATTTCTCTTTAATCCAAGTAACACATAGTGAGCTAGTCTTCGTGAAAATCTGCCATATAAGTTTCAAGCCACATATGTTTTTCCACTAAAAAATAGTCCGTAGACCCAAACCCCTTTCTACCTTAGGGGAGGTGACTACGTCCCATGCAACATGACCATGGGATTGTTCCGGCGACCCTTTCCATAAGAAGGCAGCACACATAAAGTCAATTTAGCAAATACATTTATGATAACACGCATTTTACTATACGATTTCACATCAATGCCTAGCATATTTTATACGGTTTGATACATCTTTAGATATTTATGAGCGTGCTTATACTTGTTTTTGCCTGTATGTGTTATTCTTGCAGAAAACCGAGTTTTGGTCGGAATTGGTGAAATTAGTACCCATGATCGACTGATCGCACAATATGCATCGATCGATCTTCAATCAGATTTGCTCAGTGGATGCGAACGACCGTTTGATACAAGCGTCGAACGACCGATCACCATTATCATTCAAACGGTCGATCGTGTAACATCACAAACAGTCGATCGTCACTCGAATTCATCAGAGAGTGCGATTGCACTACAAGAAACATCCGAATTTGCGACGGAAAAATCCGTTGCAAACATAAATAAAATCCATCGCAATTACAAATTTGCGACAGAAAACGATAGAATAATTTCCATCCGTATATCGTTTTCGCAAAAGTTTGTCGGTCGTTAATCCGTCGCAAAGTTGCGATGGACAAAATCTGCGATTTGCGACGGATTTGCGACAGAAAAATCCGTCGCAAATACTTTTTTTTTAAAAAAAAATAACAAAATCTGCGTTGTGCGACAGATTTGCGACAGAAAAATCCGTCGCAAATATTTTTTTTTAATTTAAAAAAAATATAATATACATATACACACGTATACATATATTCACATACATATATATTACACATATGCGTATACATTATATATATACACATAAATTTATATACATATATATATACATACACATATATTCATACACATATACATTTACATACACATATATATACATATACACACACATACATAAACACACATTCATACATATATACACATATAAATCTACATACACATACATATATATACACATACACATAAACACACACATAAACACACATTCATACACATATAAATTTACATACACATATACATATACATTACACACATACATAAACACACATTCATACATATTCACACATATACACATACACATACATATATATATATATATTCACATACACATCACATAAACACACATACACATTTATATATATACATACATATTCACATTCACATTCACATTCATATTCACATTCACATACATATACAATACACATACATAAACACACACACATATACATATACATACATAAACACATACACATTCACATACACATATACATACACATACACATATTCACATTCAATATATATACACAACACATACATATACACATACATTCACATATATACACATATATATATCTATATACACGATATATATACACATACATTGGCGAATTTTGAAGAAAAACAATTTGTTGGAGAAGATTGGAGAAGATTGAGATTTTTAAAAAAAAAATTCGAAGTCTGCAGGAGAAAGACGAAGTTGTAACTTTTATTAAGTTTTGTGACGGACATTGCCGTCGCAAAACGAAAAATAAACCGCGAAAATTTTAAACTTTTCATCGAAAATAACGAAAAAATAAAATTTGGATTTGCGACAGAAATTTTTGTCGCAATCCATCGCAAAAAGAAAAATAAACTGTAAAAATTTGAAATTTTTCATCGAAAATAACGAAAAAAAATGAAATTAGGATTTGAGACAGAAATTTCTGTCACAAATTCCGTATATATTAAAATTTTTGTCGCAAATAATGTTTGGTTTTGCGAGACAACGTTTTTGTCGTATTCCGTCGCAAATTTGCGACGGATTTTGCGACTATTTGCGACGGAATAAAAATTTTCGCATTCCGTCGCAAAACCGTCGAATTCTATCGTAATTTGTTTGCGACGGAAAAATTCTGTCGCAGATTCCGTCGCTATATGAAGATTTTCTTGTAGTGTTGATTGAAGAAAAGGATGAACGGTCGATCACCGGTTCATCAATCGGAAAACTTCCAATTTTGATTTGAGGGTTCGCTTCGAAGAAAAGAGAAGCCCGCCGCCAACAGAATTAATTGATTCCAATATTCTTCACTTCCACACACTTCAAACCTAGCAAAGACAAAAAAGAAAGATTATCGAGAAACAAGATATCAGAGTAGAAGACGGAGATCACGAAACTGAGAATCGACTAAGAGTTTCTTGTTCTTTCCATTTTTACGATGTTTTGTTGTATTGATATGAATCATATCGCCTCGTTATTTAGCGAGTAGTTTCATAACAATAGGTTAGGGATTTGCAATGTACGGATCTTTGTTTTTCACTTCAAAACTATGTGGTGTTATCTATCTAATTGATCAGTTTATTGAGTTGACTTTATTGTGTTTGATATTGTTGGTCACTTATCGCATAGAGATGTGTGATTATAATCTGTAAATAACTCAATAGAGAGAACATGTCTCGCGTCGAGAGGCGAATATTTTGCCTAGGGATTATGATAGCGTTCATTCATGCATCAAGGATTTTAGACTATTGAATCGAGAGATTAATAGGGTAAAATAATCTTGACAGTAAGGTTAGAATTGAGAGAGCTAATCTTTATTGTAGAGCTTGAATTCCCTTAATTGTATTTAGAAACCACAGAATTTACATCTTTAGAGAAGAGCCTTGCATATAAAGTAATCCTAAAACATTCGGTGTTTTATTATTGATATCTTATTCATTTGCTTATTTCTTGTTTTCCACATGTTTGTCATGATACATTCATCCATATTATTCTCTAAATCGATTCCTGATAGGAGTTTGATTCGATTGTCTACCTTGTCCCTGTGTTCGACCCTACCTACTACACACAATCTGTATATTTGCGGTTAATTGTTGAGTTTAGGAATAATATTATTACTTGGTCATATTTCTACACCTAGATTTATAACATCAATGTTTCTCTCTGAATCGCGAGGAAGAGCGATGCAGTGGAGGGAGAGATGCGCTAGGTCTAGGGCGAGATTGCAGCATTTTGCCAGAAGGTGTGGAATAGGAGCTTCTGACGACCACCAAAGGGGGACAACTTCCGTTATACCCTCAATGTGCTACATTAACATCCTCTCATACCCTCTCCTTAAAAAAAACATTACAACTTCTAATATACCTTTTATAATATGTGATTACCAAAATGCCCTTTTGTTTTTAATTTTTGAATAAAAAAATTTCCCCAAAAAATAGGGTTTAGTTGTCTCTTAATTCCTCTCTCATTCCGCTTTCTCTCTCCTGCTTCTCTCTCCCTCGTCGATGAGCTCTCTCTCTCCTCTGAATGTTGCGATTTTTAATCCAAAATCGTTAAAATTCCAGCAAAATCAGTGTGAAATTAGCTAAGAGGTTGAAGACAGGTAAGCAATTGCGAAAACCTTATTGTTTTTCATGCACATTGATGTTTGTTGTTATTTTTTGGCTGAACAGTAATGCTTCTTCCACCTTTTTTCTTGTAATTGCTGATGTTTGTGCAGTTTTTATCCTTTGGACTATAGTATAGTCATAGATCCGGGTCGGATCTGGGTTTGAGATGTTGTTTTTAGAATATCACTATACACAAAAGCCGGATCACATTAGAGAGGAGTTTGTGACATGGCCACACGGTCACATGGTCACATGGTCACATAGTGACATGATTACATTAGTCCCGTGTGATTAGAATAACAGTTCCGATAGGATTCAAGGATGACATGGTACTATCTTCACATGGTCACATGGTACTATGTTTATATTGTCACATGGTACTATATTAACATGGTCACATGGTACTATATTAACATGGTCATATGGTACTATATTCACATGGTCATATGATTCATAATAGTGGGATTAGTAATAATGATCACATGGTGAGGAATTCACATGGTCACAATTTCATATGGTAACATGATATAGAATAGTTAAAATGGTAATAATGGTCACATGGTGACATGGTATTATATTCACATGGTGACATGGTATTATATTCATATGGTCACATAGTCATAGAGTCCAGAATAGTTTAATTGATCTGCATTTTGTATTTATCCTTTCTACAGGTACGATGAACGGGCCATATGAGAGATCGACAATTGTATACTTTCTGTATGATGGTAGGTGGAGAGTGAATAAAAACGGAGAATATGAATGGGAAGGAAAGTTTATGGAAACTCAAAGATTGTTGTTCTTTTGTCCCCCCTGTGAGGTAACCTACAGTGAACTTGTTCGAGAGTTATGTGCTGAGATGAAAGTGGAGAAAAATAAAACGGATATCAGGTTGAGTTATTTGCCAAATGTCAAGGAAAACAAAAAGCCGACTTACGTATGGAATGACAAGCACGTTCATATTTATCTGTTGGATAAAAATAAATGGAATGCGAGGTATGCTTTATGTGGAGATAGATGAGTTACGTTATGAAAACTGATGCTGAAGAAAACGTTGAAGAAGAGGCTATAATTCCTGCTGATGGTAGTGTTGTTGGAGGAAATGGGAAACGAGGTGTGGAAGATTATGACGATTGTTTATTGTTGAGCCCAAATTTTAAGATTAAAGTTGGGAGTAATAATGTGACAGAAATTATACATCTTTCTGACAGTGAACATTCAAGTGGACTTAGAGAAGTTATAGTGACAGAGTGTGATACTTATGATGATGGTGATGATGATGATGGTGATGGTGATGGTGATGGTGATGGTGATGGTGATGGTGATGGTGATGGTGATGGTTTGGAGCTTGACCTTATCGAGGACTCTTTGTTTTCTGATTCTGTATTCACTTTCTGTGATGGATTAAATATAACAATTGGGCATGAATTCGACAATAAGGAAGCAACGCAAGAATATGTTCGAAAGGGTGCAACTATGGCTCGTTTTAGGTATACTACGCTGATGTCTGATAAGAAGTTATGGGAAATCAGATGCAAATTTGCCGGATCCGGCTGTAATGTGAGTTGCGTACGGCATTGATCCTTAATTCGAAACGTTGGAGTGTAAGAAAACACAATCCCATTCATATTTGCAAACCCGTTTCAGAATCAAGCGAAAGTACGAGGGGTACAAAGAAACTTGTTAGAGATTATTTGAAGGAAGAATTCCCGGGTAAACTTGATAGCACTCCTTCTGCACATGAAATAATAGACCGTGTAAAAGCGAAGTATGGCACAACCGTAACATATTTGACGGCGTTACGAGGGAAGCATAAAGCTGAAAGTGAGATTCGAGGTGATCATGCTGAGCATTTTAGGAAGCTTCCTGGATGGTTGCACATGTTGCAGAAGAGAAATCTTGGAACAATTGTAAGTCTTGAATTAGACACGGATTGTAAAAGCTTCAAATACCTCTTCATCGCATTGGGTGCAACGGTTAGAGGATGGAATTACATGTGTAAAGTGGTTACTATTGATGCAACATTTCTGACAGACCAGTACAAGGGTACATTGGTTGTTGCAACCGCACAAGACGGTGACTACCACCAATATCCATTGGCGTGGGGTATTATCGATAGAGAAAAAGATGCATCACGGAAGTGATTTATGGAAAGATTAATAAATGCAATCCCAGATGGACCTGAAGTCGTTGTGATATCTGAACGACATAGAAGCATAATAAAGGTTGTTAGAGAAGTGTATAAAGAAGCTTGGCATGGATTTTGTGTGAGACACATTGCGCAAAATCTTAAAGTCAAGGGTAACAGAGGCATGGGAAGAAAGAGTTGTAGAGGTGAAAACCGTCGCAGAAAGGTTCTTCAAATGCGCGGAAGCTTATACGTTACACGAGTTTGAAGAACAGTTTACTGATCTTAAGAATAGGTATGAACTTTCTAACCACTATTACCAATCCGATAAATCTGAAATATGTGACCATGACACAGGGTACCATGTGACCATGGCATACCATGTGATCATGGCACGGGTACCATGAGACCATATTGAAATGGTATCATGTGACCATGTTGAGATGGTACCTTGTGACCATGCTTAGATGGTACCATGTGACCATGTTGAGATGGTACCATGTGACCATGTTGAGATGGTACCATGTGACCATAGCACAGGGTACAAAGTGGCCTCTCCCCGTGTGTACCAAATCGGCTAATCTAGATGGTATCATGTGACGATGTGACCATGAGTTTTCTATTGTGTAGGTATCCTAAAGTTGCCGAGTATATGCAGAAAGAAGACCTTGATCCCGAGAAATGGGCGAGGACTAAATTTAAGCGTGAAAGGTACAACTTGTTGACTACAAATGGGGCTGAATCAATCAACACTGTGTTGAAGAAAGCAAAAAGGTTTCCGGTGCTAGGCGTACTTGATATTTGTCTTTCAAAGACTGTGGAATGGTTCGATCGGCGTCGATTGGAAGCAAGATCTATCGATGATTCTCAAAAACTGACACCATATGTTGACAAAGTGCTACATGAACGTTACGAGATGGCATGTACGTACGAGGTTAATGTGCTGAACTCTATTACAGAGGAGTTTGAGGTGACTGGTGAAAAGGGTAGAAAATACTTAGTCAAAATTGGAGATAGATCGTGCAGTTGCAGATTATTTGATATTGATAAGATCCCATGCAGTCACGCAATTGCAGCACTTCATAAGGTTGGGAAAGCAAATAAGATACCAGACCTGTGTTCTCCATACTATTTGCGCGAGTCATGGCGTCATGCTTATGAAGCAACTATGTATCTGATCCCGGATTGTTGTGAATAGAGCATCGATGATCCAAATGTTGCAAACCGCGTGGTTTTGCCTCCTATCTTGGAAGACAAACGGAAAAGTGGGAGACCCAAACAAAATTGCTTTTCGGGTCCTGGTGAAGCCCGAAAAAGGATGCATGTCCCAACAGAAGTATCAACATCAGCAATGTGTGAGAGAACACCATGTATGAATAAAGAGACCATTTGTATAATAATTGTGTATTGTATTCCATGTCTTTTGCTTCCTTGTTAGATTTTAATTCATTTAATTTGGTCCCATTCCACAATTAAAATACAATAAATAAGTTATCTCATATGACCAATGTTTGTGACCCATTGTGACCAGCATGTGACCAATGTGACCCTTGTCCAATTTTGTACTATGGGACCATTGTGATCGGATGTGACCTGTGACCAAGTGAGAAAAGTAAATATAGGTGGAAACATGCTTTTTAAACTTGGTTGTGTTGTAACAAGGTATAAAGAACACAAATATAGTGTTATCATAAATTTTACAAAATATGTTAAGGTGTTTGTAATACAAAAGCACCAATATTGTCAAAATCATTCATAAAACACTATGAACACTTATGGGACACATGTGTGAACACTACTTTTGCACCCATAATTTGAATAATTCTGTTTTTTCTCTTCAATACGGTACAAAAGGGTTAATATGGAACATGTGAAAGCGTTCGTAATGATTCATTTGAAAGAGTCCATAAAATCGACCCTTGTGACCCAATGTGACCAACTGTGACCCAATGTGACCGAAAATTTGTGGGACCCAGGTTTGACATGCATTTTTTGGATGGGGCCCAGTGCCATCCAGCTATGCAAAAAAGTTGCAGTTGACAATTCAACCCTTGATTTTGATGGGACCCATGCGAATGAGAGTAGTATTTTTTTTAATAAGGCAAATTTGATTCCCTCCAATATTTTCATCAAAAAAAATTTCCTCCAAAATTTTCATGAAATTTTTTTTACTTTCAAAACTTTTTTAACCCATATTTTTTGGGTTTAGGGAATAAATAATAAACAGAAACCCATAATAAAAAATCCATAACAACACAATACTTAGGTTGCAAAAGCACCGCAGTCACAACCGGTCGCATCCTCAGGTAGTCCGTCCACATACTGAATCTCAAGTACATCGCCTTCAGCGAAACAATCCGACCCAGCAAGGATACAAGCCCTGGGAATGAGTTTACTAAGCTTATGCACTACCTTTTCCATATTTTCCCTTAGCCTCGGCTGACAGTCATAAACATGAAGCTCTTTCTCATTGAAATCAACCTTAATGGCATTCCAATGGCAACTTATTTCATCGCTTGCAAGGGATGGAATGCTAAGTACACTTACAAAGCCGTTGTAAGTGATCAACGGTGTGCCTGTGTTGGTTTAGTGCTCTATGATGTATTGTTTACGAGCTTTACTTGGATACATTTGATGTATTGACGCTTTCTATGATTTTATGGATGAGTGTTTGATTCATTACGTATTGTGCATGCTTGATATGTTATGAAATCCATGTATTGTTATGAACAATACTAAACTCCCTAGTCATGTATCATTGTGGGAATAATGATATAACAAGACTAGTATGATGTGTGATTGATGATCATATACATGATCATAGGTATTGGATACGATCACAGTCATAGGTATTCGTTAGAGAACGAAATACTGGAATGACCCGCATGAGATTGTCATATGGACTAGCGTCATGACTTGAATCTCATATGGCGGTTCCATGATTGGATCCTAAGACCTGAGATATCTACGGAATCCAACATGAGGAGTTGCATGCTTTGAATACTGTTGGGTTTCCTGGGATCTCTAGAGCGAAACCTATTCCCAAGAGATCGATTCTAGGGTTTGCGCAGCGGATATAAAACAAAAATTTAATAAACCCTAGAACCATGCTTCTAATGAATCGTAGAAACGTTAGAACGCTTACCTCAATCGATCCGGGGCCTGTATCAATCGAAGAACACATCTGATCACGAAAGGCAGGAAGAATACCTCGCCCTCTACACGTATCCACACTTCGAGATGGATTCCAACGCTTGGAACTTGTCTGCTAGGACTCGAATCCGCTATTCGATTTGTGCTTCGAGAAGAACGGACTTTGATCACACTCTCAACCTTTTTGGATCTCACCAAAAACTGCTCAAAGTGTTCTAAAGTCGGCTCACCTTATTAGGGTTTTTTTAATCTCCCTTTTCTAAAGTGATTTAACCCTAAACCGGTTTAATTTCGGAAAAACTGAAGCCCGGAACGGACGGTCCAGAAATGCACGTGGACCGTCCGTTCCAGCACATAGAACGGACGGTCTGCTCACGTGGACCGTCCGTTCCAGACTTTCTGGAACGCACAGGACACTGACTCTTGCAGAGAACTGTGCCACTGCTCATCGGTAAGGTTCCTTTCTTGGAATCTTGCATCTTGAACCGTTTCAAAACCTTATCG